ACATGCGCTTTGGCTTGAAAATGTGCCTAAATGGGATGGCATAGAGCTGGGGTGTGTGAGGGGGGTGGGCCCACCCAGGCCCACCCAGGCCCACCCACGATTTCCACTACCAGTTCAGGTGAACCAGTCTGAACCAGCAGAATGCCACCTCTAATCCTCCCTAAATTTTGAGATTGAAAATAAAGTTAGTGGAAGATTTCTACTTTCAGATATATAAAATTGAGTTGAATTAGCTCATCTAGTTATGTTTCCTGTCTGGTCTAATAGGAAGAAGATTAGCCTAGAACTTTATTCTTGACAAATCCATGCTTTCTGGTAATCAAGAAGTTTATACTTTTTCTGCTCTTCAATTTGTTTGTCATCTCCTCTGGAATGTTCCCTACAATTGACAAATTTTGTCAATGATATTTTCTCAACATAAATATTTGTCAGCATAGGATTGACAGATTTTGTTCTGTTTACTTATGATGATAATGGTGACACCTGTTCTGCTAATTAAGCACATTTAGATAACGAAAAGATTCAAATGTGAAAAGACCATGTGGAATAAGAAATAAAGGTTTCTGTTTCTAACATTTCTGGATGTTTCAATTCTAGGTCCATCCCTTTCTGGAGAAGAATGACTTTTGCAATCTCTCCAACTCTGAGCTCTACATGGACCAAAATGGAAATATAGCAGCAGATCTAGGCATTGTGAGCTTGCTGGTTCAATCCAAGGAGGACCCTATGGAAGAGTTTCTGGGGAGTTTTGAAAGGCAGAGACTTCTTATCGACCAAAATGATATTTTACGGCTTAAGTTGTTGAACAAGGTAGTTGAAGTTTTAATGTCTTTCTTTTCTAAGTTTTCCAAGGCCTGAAGGCCCATTTCAAGTGATCTAAGCCTAGTCATCCAAGTAGTTGACCTATACTGAGAATTGAATGTAAGACATAGACACCTTATAGGTTTTTTTAGACTTCTTGGGAAGGTTCAGTGCTATTCCATTTTGTACACAATCTACAATTTAGTATCTCAATCAATCTGGTGGAAAAACACAAGTGATGTAGAATGTGTTGGTAAATCTTCAGGTTTCTTTGCATCAAATAGCAAAGAAGAAGGCAATTCTTCTGACCAATGCCTGGTTTCAGGATTGAATCAGATTAAAGTGAATCATAATTGGAAGGAGGTCCTCTTGGTTCCATTGGAAAATAATCTTCATCTTGTCCTGGTTGGGAAAAGTGTTTCCCGAATAGGCAGGATCATAATCAGTGATGTTCCTAAACAAACCAGATCTGGTCAGTGTTATCACCACCTCTCTTTCACCCCATTGGGATACAGAAGTAGTCCTTCTGCTCCCAGAGGTCCAAAGTTCACATGAAATCACAATGACTGTTCTGATATCCCATAACCCAGAAAACTGAAATGACTGAATTAAAACAAGTCTTTGATCAAAAGGGAGAGAGAGAGAGAATTTGAAAAAAAATGCTACTTGGATTTGGCCGTTGTCTATATAGGATAGGATGGGATGGGACAGAAGGGAAGGGAAGAGAAAAGAAGAGAAGAGAAGAGGAGTTGAGTTGGAGGGGACCTTGGAGGTCTTATAGTTCAATCCCCTGCTTGGGGAGGAAACCCTACACCATTTCAGACAAATGGTTATCCAATCTCTTCTTAAAAACTTCCAATGTTGGAGCATTTACAAATTCTGGAAGCAAGTTGTTCCACTGATTAATTTAGAGGGCACTTCATCTGAAAAGTCCTGGAATGTAATTGTTTATCTTGAGGGTTACCTAACTTTAGTCTCTCTGTGACAAAAGAAGTCTCCAAATTTAACTAAGAATAAATTATATCTTCCTTTCCATGTCAGTTGGTGGCATTTAATTGTAGTTCTTCAAAAGAAAGCACTTTGTTTTTTGTACCTAGCTGGGCCTTGGAAATATCTTTTTCTGACACAGAATTCATTCTCATGTCCCACCTTCTGCAAGAAAAGATGCCTGACTTATTCTGTCTGAGGGCCACTTTCTCATGTCATCACCTCCATCTTATTTCACTCCAGTTCTAAAAACTGGACACTTAGTTCTGATCTTATTTCACCAGGATGGCAGCCATATACATTGAAGAAAAAATAGACAAATAAACAAAGAACATCTCTTTTAAAGTTGACTGCACTACTTTCAAGGAATTTTTCTTAATCTTTATTAACTCTTTAATTAACAGTTTTGGTCTACCCTGTTTCCCTGAAAATGAGTTCTCCCCAGATAATAAGCCCAATCTCACTTTTTTTGGGGGGGTGGGGTGCCAGTGGTGGTTTGCAGGCAGTATGCTCCGGTACAGGCATACTGGAGACTGCCCGGAGCACTGGGTACCATTCTAGTATGGTGCTCTGGAGGGCCCACCCACCCGCCCATGCTCCTTACCTGTCTTTAAAGTCTTCAGCACTTCCGCGCATGCACATGACGCATATAACGCCTGTGCAATGCTCC